AGGTTATTATAAGCCAAGTTATTATTTAGGCAATTACTTTTTTTTGTATCCTTGCTGTCTGCTCCTTACGAGAAACAGCTTCACCTTGCCATCACCAATGCTGGAATTGGACTTTCTGTTGAAGCTGCTTGGTGTCTCTGCATTTCCTGCAAACTTACCAATGCATTCTGTATCTGACTCTTTTGTTGTCTTTTGTAACTGTTTACGTCTCCAGGTCATGTAACTGTGAAAATGTCTCTAGGTCTATTGCAATTTTGCAGGGTTAAGGTATTAAACTGAAAGGTAAAGCAAATGTTTATATTAATTCAATTTCATCTGCTCCTTCAATGTGAAATAAAAATATTTCTGGAATTCCTGGCTAACACTGGGCATGAAACTTTGCTTTAACGCTTTATTAGACTAATTCAAATACACACTATTGTCTTCTCAAGCAAATCTATACGACAGCAAGTCTAACTGTTCTTCATGTGTTGCTCAAGGAAGTTACACCAAGCATAAACATAGATTGGTTGTACTGTTTTGTGTGGTGGGCCTTGAAGTGTGTTGTCAAACAGTGGGATCCCCTCCTGGTAGGTTTCTTACAAACATAATAGTCATAAATAGTCCCTGGGGCAGAGAGCTTGCAGCTGAAGACAGAATGTGTGTAGGGTAGGTTAAAGCAAGAAAGGAGCAAGGTACACGATGTGATGGCAGCCAGTGTCTTACTCCTTTGAGGTGGGGTTGAGATATGGTAAATTACATGGATGAAAGCTTTTGTAAAACAGACTGAGGGATGGGGCAGGATGAAAGGCTGTGGGTTGGAGTGCATAGTACATGGCAGACTTGGACACTCCAGATGCTCAAAGACCAGTTTCCTATTTTGACTTGTGCTTTTAGTTTTGCATTACTGTTACTTCTCCTTTGCAGACTTTCCCTAGGCCAGCCTACCTCGGGTAAGGTGCGGAAAGAGACCTCAGGTGGGTTGCTCCCTTCCATTTGGGTGAACTGTCTCCTGGTGTTTCTGGATCCAAGAAAAACATTAGGAAAAGAGTAGCTTTGGCATCTCCACTCTTAGAGAGTGATAAAATAAACAAAACCAAAACCAGTTTCACCACAGACTGCCCCAGATAATCTTCAGGGCACTGTTGTGATGAAGGAAGCTCTGTTCATGTTCTCTCTTTATTTCTGCAGACCAAGGGCAGAGATTAGCTTGTACCTGTGCGGTGCCTGCTTTTAACTATTAGAGCTACTGATTCAAAGAATCTAACTCAGTAGCTTGATTAAGAATTAAGTAGGTATTCTTTATTGGCAGCGCTGGGTGGACAGGGGATCACTCCACCTGTTGTGCACACCATCGGGTCTAATTGTGCAGGTTAAGTACACGTTCTACATACATATTCACTAGATTTCTGAGAAATGTTATACATATTCATTAGTTTTCTGGGAAACTACTAGCATATGTAAATGTCCTTTACGCAGGCGCATTGAAGGTCTCTGGTGGTCTTCAGGAGTCCTCTGGTGGTCTTCCATAGTCTTCCTCACTTGTCCACTACTTGACCCTCCTCAGGTGATTCTGTGCAGCATGGTCCTTTACATGTTTTGATACAACTTATCCTAAAGAATACACGTTAGTCCCTAAAAAAAAAAGCTTGTAAGTGCTCTTATTATCTAAGTTTTCATTAGTGATGTAAAACCATACGGCTAGTTTAAGCTAAATTACTTACAAGGACGAGAACAAAGGCAGGAGTTCTTATCTTTTCCGGCCCTATCTATTCAAGCAAGGTCTCTGCTTGTGCCTTCTCAACAAGATCGTAAATTCATCAAACATTTAATTAAGTTTTGTGATTGCTCATGGCTCCCTCTTGCTCATCACTCCCAAGTACCAGTCTCTGACAGGCTTAATCCTTGACAAACACCAGTCCTTGGTATGTAAAGTTACAGAGAGATAATCAAGATGAGCTAGATCATTAAACAATAAGCAGTTCGTTCTCTGTATCACTACTACTGTGGAGATGTTTTGATACCGCTAATTTTTATAGAGACTAATTACATGAATTTGCACGTAACACTACAGATGGCAGTACTAGGTCTCTCTAAGCTTACAAATCTAGTTCTTCAGGTTGTCTAGTCCACGTTTTTGACTCCGGGCCAAAGTGTTTGAAATGCGGTAGTGCAGCACATAGGCCAATCGCACAAAGCATGTGTTTTAAGCGGGGGGTGGGGGTGTTGTAAAGTAAGGTAGAGAGTGAAGCTTGCACAGCAGGCTGTGATGGGGCAGGCACAGCCCTGCACGCTGTTTTGGTGGAGACGTGGGTGATTTCAGGAAAGTTTCTCCCTTCCCAGCTTTTTAGCCTCCTAACGGCTGCAACTTTGTCAAGTGGCTCTGGAGATGGATGCACAGTCCGGATTTTCCCGCAGGTGTAGCGCAAGCCCCGTGGCCTGCAGCTCACTGGCTGTCCCTGGCCACTTTCCTCACAGGACGCTTCTACTTCTAAAAGAATCCCCCCACGCGTGCCTCAGGCCGAGGTTCGCCCTCCCTGAGGGGACGGGGGGGGGGACGGAGTCCGGCAACGCGG